AGGTGGCCCAGGGCCTGGCCCAGGAGCCCATGGCACAGCTGGAATCTGCCATGGGAGCTCCTTGTCCCTCTGGTGATGTCCTAGCCCTGCCCTGGCAGCAGGAGGGACCCTGGACTGTCACTGCTGCAGTAATGTCCCCCGTCTCTCCTAGAGAAGAAGCAGCAGCAGAAGCCCAAATCCAAGGGGGACATCCCGGTGCCCAGGTTCCGGAGGGGGAAGGGGGAGTCGGAGCGTTCCTACATCTGCCGCATGGAGCAGGAGGTGCAGCACGTCCTGTTCCTCACCGAGAACCAGCTCCAACGGGAGCCTGAGCGGGAGGACACGGCTCCGGAGAAGTCCCAGAGGAAAAAAGAGTGAGAGCAAGGCCAGGGGGGCCAGATGGGGCCAGCCCAGGCCTGTGGCCTGTCCCTCTGCTCGGTTCTGCAGGGCAGGTCTGGCGTTGGCAGCGGCTGGTGGGGCAGGTGGGGGGGCTGTGGGCCCCCTCTCCATGGATTTGGATCTCTGGGAATGGAACCACAAGCCTGCTTCACCCTCCTGGGGGGAGAGCTGTGGGATTTGTGGGGCTCCTGTGGGGTAGGGACTCACCTCCTTGCTCCCGAGCCCTGGCCACAGCGAGGCTCCTCAGGTTTCAGAAAAAGAAGCTGGAAAAAGCTCGGAAGAAGAAGGAGGAGAAGAAGAAGGACATGCTGGAGAAGAGCCTGTTCCAAGGTGGGGCTGGAGCAGGGTGGGCTGGAGTGACCCCCAGCACATGGAGGGGATTGGGAAGCCGGATTGACACATCCCCGGGGGCTCTGACCTGACTCTGGCTCTGGTTTCCCTCACAGACACGGTGGCGTTTGGGGAGGTGGTGACACAGCCGCCCACCATCACCTCACGGCCCCGGGGACGGGGTCCTGCCGAGCAGGTGAGCTCTGGGGGACAGTGCCACCCCCCCGGGTACCTGCAGGGCTGGGGTGGCCTCAGTGGCAGCTCCTGGCAGCGTGGTCCTGGTGTCTCATCCTTCATCCCTGAGCTGTCCCGGCTCTGCCCACAGGCTGGACGGAAGCAGCTCCTCCTGACGCCTCGGCTGGGCCGGAGCCAGGCGTCCCCCGTGTCCCCAGTGTCCCCAGTGATGTCCATGGCTCGCCGGCGCATCGTGGAGGAGGAGCGGGCGCGGGTCATCCAGGCCTACAGGGACATCCAGAGGCGGAAACAGCTCCAGCGGGAGCGTTCCCAGGCTGGGAACAGGGCCCCACACTGAGCCCACCCGGAGGGGCTGCGCATTCCTGGTCCCTCTGCAGGGACCCCGGGACTCGAAGGGGACATTGTTGTGATGCTCCCCTGTTGCTGCTGAGCCCTGGGACTCCCACAGACTCCCCGGAGTGGGGTCCCTGCAGTGCCATGGACCTGCTTGGAGTAAAAGTGCCAGTGGGAGCTGATGGCATGAGCATGTCTGTGCTGGCCCCCCTGCCCGAGTTCCTTAGGGACACTGCTGTGCAGGCAGATGGCAGTGCCAGGCATGTCACTGTCACCACAGGCTGGCCCTGGCAGGGCTCTGGCGAGGGCAGGACCCTCGTTGCTCGGCCTTGAGGAGACCCCAGTGCCTGGCCATCACCCCTCCAGCTCCAGTCCTCAGTGGGAGGAAAGCGAGGCAGTGCTGAGGACATGGAGCATCCCACAGGGCTCCCCTGCACGGCGTCACCTCCCTGTGTTGTCACCGCTCATGGCACTGTGGAGCCCCTGGTCTGCGGCCGCGCCACCCCTGCCCTCGGCACCGCTGCCTTTGTGCCCCCCTGGCCCTGCCAGACCCCCGATGACCCCGGTGCCAGGTGTGCTGCCACATCCCCACCGCTGCACCCGCACCCCCACCGCGCCACCCGCCCCATCCGTGCGATGTCCTCCGGCAGCCCCCGGCTCCTGGCCCCGGGGAGGCTCCGGGGCTGCTCCCGGCGCGGCGCGGCCGTGTCTGCCCTCACCTGCCCGCACAAAGGCCCCGCTGTTCCTTGGCCCCCGCCGGCACAAAGCATTCCCTGTTGGAGCGGGGCTGCGGCCGGCGCTGGCGGCACCGGTGGGATCCCGCGCTTCCGGAGGGGCTGGGCATGGGAGGGAGCCACCGGCAGCTCCGCTGTCCCCCACCGGAGCTGAGCAGGGACAGTCTCCACCGCCCTGCTTTTCGGGGGTCACCACTGCACCCCCGGGGATGTGGATGGGCCTTTGGGGTGGTCACATGCTGGACCCCGCTGTGCCATGTGGTGCCAGTGGCTGGGAGGAGGGAGCGCTGCGGTGACGGTGGCCCTGGGGACGCCGAGTGCCTGGCTCTGCTGGGCGATGTTCCTTCTGCCACCCGGCACCAGGTAAACACAGGTGCCAGGTAAACATGGGTGCCAGGTAAACACAGGTGCCAGGTAAACACGGGTGCCAAGTAAACACGGGAGCCAGGTAAACACGGGTGCCGTGGGGGGGCACGGCCACATCCCACTGCAAACACCCGCCTCCCACGGCTGTGTGTCCCAGAGCCAGGAGCGTGGGCGGGTGCCAGCCAAGGGCACGGTGGGGACATGGCATGTGCCATGCTCCCGCTGTGTCTCCCTCCTGCGGGCGCTGTGCAGGGCACATGTTCCCACTGGCAGCCCCTCCGCCGCCATCCCGGCTCCGGCTCAAGGAGAGCAGGTCACCCGCCTGCCCCCACGGAGCCATTCCAGCCCTGAATAATTCATGGCACCGGTGGCCGCAGGCTTCCTGCCCAGAGGAGGAGGAATGGCTGTGGAGGGGAAGGCGATCCGAGCGGGAAAACCGCCGCGACCTTGGCACGTCCTCCGTGCTGCGCTGCCTCCCGCCCGGCAGCCCATCTGCCCACGGGATCCCGGCCCAGCCGCCCCATCTGGGAGGGCTGGGGGCACTGAGGGCCCTGCCCTGAGCCCCCCTTTGCTCCCTGTCACCCCCAAAAAGGGGAACGCGGCACTGAGCCCGCAGGCACCGTGGTGGGATCAGGAATGGGGGAGCAGCCAGTGACACACCTGAGGGCACCTCCCGTCACGGGCCACCTGTGACAGCACCGTAGGAAAAAACCACCTTTATTGGGGTGACCTGAAAAAAAATGGGGAAGAGGAAAAACGACGGAGAAAGCCACAGGAAGGGCGAGGGGCCCAGCCCCCTCCCCCCTCCCCAGAGGGGTCCCCGAGCCCCGAGGGGGGAAGGCACCGAGAAGGCAGCTGGAACTGTGGGGCCCCAGCAAGGCACTGATCCCCCAGGCCCCCAGCAGCCCCCCTTCCCCAGCAGTGGGGAAACCGAGGCACGGCAGGAAGCAGAGCCAGGGACGGCTTTGTGTCCCCTGGGCCAGCTCAGGGTCCCCAGGGCTGGTGGGGTCAGGGTGGAGCTGGGGGCTCGGTGCCCTGGGGGGGGGTCCCACCAGCTCCCCAGCTTCAGAGGGTCCATGGCCCGGGAGGAGAGCGGGGTATCCGTGCATCACAAAGGCAGCGAGGGGACAACTTGGGGTGTCCCCATGCGAGCCAGTCCTTGAGGCAGGCTGTGGGGTCCGGGCAGAGCTGGCAGCTTGCGGGTGCCATGGCCAGGTGGGACGGGCAGGTGGGAGTGCTGGCTCTGGGGCCATATCCGGGCATCCCGTTGGCAGGAACTGGCTCTGGCTGCTGGCCAGGGTGGGATTCACACGTCAGGGCAGGATGAGGCTCGGCGAGACCTCGGGAGCAGGACGGAGGGGCCGCGGCTGTGCCAGTGCTGCGGGACCTGTGCCACGGGGGCTTCACCACCGGTTCCTGCTGTATGGGGACTGCACCTGCGGGCAGAGCGAGGTGGCACAGCACTGGCACCAGGACTGTGGCTCCTGCGCTGGTGGCATGTGCACCCTGACCCACCGGGGGGTCTGTGGGTGCTGGGCAGAGCCATCACCGTGGCAGGCAGACTTTGCCCCTGCCGTGGCCGGGTGCCCGCTGCTGTTCACCCACCTGGAAGCTCCGGTTGTCCCGTGGGGTGCCGACGTGCCGGGCCTGTGCCGTGAAGGCGTCCTCGGCTCGGAGCGTGGAGCTGGCACTGCCGGGTGCCGGGCTGGTGGAGGCGCGGGGCAGGATCACGTCGTAGGGACCTTCACTCTGAGGGACAGACAGACACGGGAGGTGTCACAGCACTGGGAACACCCCCAGCCCCGCAAGGTCCCGGGGGAGGAAGGCTCAGAGGGTCCCCACCCCTCTACAGCAGCCATCGGGACAGGGGGGTCGTGGCAGCCCCCACCCCCTCACACCCTGTCCCCCATCCCGGCTGCTCCGGTTGGAAGCCTGACAGGATGTGGCTGGTCCCCAGTGCCACCTGGTGTCACACTCACCATCCCCTTGTGCATCAGAGCCATCTCGGTGGGCTGGTACACGCTGGTCAGCAGCTGCCCGTTGTAGCCGCTGTACGGGGACACCGGTTTCTTGGCTGCTGAGACACAGGGACGGTCACCACAGAGCCACCCCCCCTCACCCCCCTCACCGGGGCTCCCGGTACCTCGTTAGCAGGTTTAATGAGCTGACTCAGCAGCTCTGTGCCTTTCCCAGGGGACACTCCTGTCCCCAGGGTTGGCATTGCTGCGCTCCCGGCGCAGCCCCTGCCTGGCTGCGGTTTGTTATTGTAGGGTCTCGTGGGTCCAGGTGCTGCTCGGGGGGACCCTCCCTGCCCTGTGGGGTACAGACACCTGGTGCCCGCCCGTGATGCCCACTGGGGTGACTGTCACCACCCCATGTTATTGTAGGGTCTCGCGAGTGCAGTGTCTGCCCGGGGCAGAGGGCCGGGAGCCATGGGCACCCCACGCCGGGGAGGGAGCACCCAGCAGCTCCTGGGCTCAGCCCAAACTGGTAGGCCCAGCCCGGCCAGTTCTTGGGAACCACAACAGGCGTCAGTCCCTGGCAGGTCACTGCCAGACGTCTCATCACCCACCCACTGCTGCCACCCCCGGTGGGGACATCCCTGAGGATGCCATGAGTGAGGGCCCCTGGTGCCCGTTGGCATCTCCACCGTGGGGCAAGAGGGTCCCTGGTGAGCCCCAGCATCCGCCAGCAGCCCCGCCACGGTGTGAGAGGGTCCCTGATGAGGATCCCTGGTGCCCACCAGCAGCCCCACCCAGTGGGGCAGGAGAGTCCCCCGCGAGCCCCAGCACGCACCGAAGGAGGGCTCATCCATGGAGAAGGCTTTGTTCTCCACGAACATGCTCTGGGACTTCTGCTCCTTGAGGATGGTCTCGTAGCCCACCCCGCGCGTGGGGTAGCCGTCGTCCTCGAAGGCCTGCTCGGGGCTGCGCCGCGTCACGTGCGTCACCTCGGGGATGACGTAGAGCAGGAGGAAGGCGCTGGCGTTGCTGACCAGCGCGATGGCCAACGTGGGGTCGTCCCAGCCGGGCTTGTGGCCGGCGCGCTGGTTCCCGTAGAGGTACATGACGGTCCACGCCACCCAGATGGCCACGGAGAGGCCGGTGGCGGCCAGGATGAAGGCGCCGTGCTTGCGCCAGCGGCCGTAGCGCCCGCAGAGGGCCGGCCAGGCCGCGCCGAAGGCGGCCGCCAGCAGGAACATGACGTAGACAAGCGCCATGACGAAGTCAGCGTCCGCCAGCTGGCAGGGGTCCGGGGGGCCCTCCCGCCGCGCCACCGTGATGAGCAGCCACTCGGCGTTGATGATGACCTCCACCGAGGCGAGGGACAGGGCCACCGCCAGCGTCACCCAGCCCCGCGGCGCGCGGTTCCGCCGCGCCAGGAAGTTGAGGGCCATGGCGTGCGCCAGGAGGCTGGAGAAGCAGATCCCGAAGAGGACGCCGAAGAGGAAGCGGCGGGAGGTGCAGGTGGAGAAATCCGGCCCCACGACGAAGTCGAAGGTCAGGCAGAACAACCCGAAGGTGCCCAGGAGGAAGAAGACCTGCGTGGCCACCAGGCTCTTCTTCTGGGGGTCCTGCACGAAGGGCAGGCTGGCCACCAGCACGATGGTGAGCACGAAGGTGGTCACCACGCCGAGGCTGGCCACCACCTCCACCGCGATGCCCCAGCCCGCTGAGAGGTCGCAGAGGTTGTAGTAGAGGGAGGAGAGGCCGTGGCTGCAGCCTGGGGGCGGGGTGGGCTGCGGGGTGGGCTGTGTGGCCGCCGTGGGGAGCAGGGCCAGCAGCACGGCTGCGGGCTCCATCCTGCACCGCGGCACCCAGGGACCCTGCAGGACATGGAGGGGTCAGGGCACGGCAACCAGGGACATGGATCAGCTCCTGGCTCAGAGCATCCCTGCCCACAGCCCCCCTCCAGCCATCCCACGGCAAGGAGGGAGGTCCTGGGGAGCCCTGTCTGTGCTGGCCCAGCTGAGCCCACCCCAGCAGGGTCAGGGAGCTCCAGATGGGACCAGGCAGCCAAGTGTCCCCCATCGACTCCTTGCCTGGAGGCTGGTGGCAGCTGAGGGGAAATCTCTGTGCCCCACATGTTCCCTCCTGACATGGGAATTCTCTGGGGCTGTGCCCATCCCTGCCACTGGTGCCAGGAGCAGGCAGCACTGTGCCCGCTGGCTTCCTGGGAACACCAAATGTGGGCCCGGGCTGGATGGCAGAGGTGATACTGGAGGACAGGGCTGACCCTTTGCCTTGTCCCTGCCTGCCACCACGTTCCTCTTTCCACTTCTCCTGTCCCACTTCCCTCCTCTGGCTCCGGGCACTGGCCCAGTGCAGGTCTCGTGTCCGGCCCACTGGCACGTAGGCAGCCGCAGCCTGGCACGGCACAGCACGGCACAGCCTGGCACGGCATGGGGTCCCGGTCCCTGTCCCCTCTGCTGCCACCCAGGAGTGGGCACAGGGAAGAGGAGGCAGCAGAGAAGCTGCAGCCCCACTGCTGGGGGGAAGAAACGGGGAGGACACCCCCGGCAAGCTGACTCCGGGGCCAGGACCCCTTGCTCCCCTAGGAGCACCCCGAACCGGGCACCCCCCCGGCCCCGGGATGGGGACAGGGACCCCGGTACGGGGACAGGGACCCCGGTACCGCAGTCGGGCAGAGTCCCCGTGCCCGCGGGTCGGACCGGCTCCACCGTGTCGGGATCGGCTGCTACCCCCGCACCCCCAGCGCAGTCCCTCCGCACCCCCGGCCCGGCTCCTCCGCGCTTCCAGTCCAGCTCCTCCTGCAACTCCCACCCGCTCTCCCCGCGCTCCCATCCCGCTCCCCCTGCACCCCCCGCTGGCTTCCCCCGCATCCCCGCCCGGGTCCCCCCCCGCGCTCCCGCACCGCTCCCCCCGCGCCCTCTCCCCGGTTCCCCCCCGCACGCTCCCCCCGCACGCCCATCCCGCACCGTCCCGGTGTTTCCCGGAGCTCTCGCCCGGTCCTGGCGCCGAAACTCCGCCTGAGCCGCCCCCGACCCTCCGGCCGGAGGAACTGAGGGGGCGGACGGGTCCCGGTCCCTTCCCGTCGCGGTTCCCGGTGCCCTCCCCAGCCCCGCAGGGCTCGCCCCCGCCCCAGCCCCACTCACTGGCCGCAGCCCCCCGGTGGCCGCCGCTCCGCTCCGCTCCCCCCGCTCCGTGCCGAGCCGAGCCGAGCCGAGCCAGCCCCGGTGCCGCCGCACCGTGCGCCTGCCCGGCCCGGCCCCTCCCCGAGGTGCGGCTCAGCCCCGGGAGCGCGGTCGGGGCCGGCCGGGACCTGCCCCGCCGCACCGGGCGGGGGCACCGGGACCCCGCCCCGGGGCACGGAGGGGGCTGGGGGCGGGAGCACAGCCCGGGCTGGGGGGGGTGGAGCAGTGGGGAGCCCACCTGGTCATCGGTGTGATGAGTCTGTGTGTGCGTAGGGGGGAGGTGTCTCTGTCATCAGTGCGATGAGTCTGGGGGGAGTCTCAGCCCGTCTCTGCTGAGCGCTGCCCGCTGGGAGAGATTCTCAAGGGACAAAGGCAGGGTAGGAGGGGCTGCGTCACCCACACGGGGCCCTGCGCCGGCCTCCGGTGGGCTCGGGGGTGGGAGCCGGGAGTGGGGCTCCGCAGGCGGCCCCGCCGTGTAAGGATACACAGGCCTGGAGGGGCCTCCCGGAGGAATGTCAGCTGACGGATAAAGCCGGAGCCCTTGGCAGGACAGCAGGACCCAGAAAACCCCAGAAAAGCCCCGGAAAAGCCCTTCCTGCGGAGGGCTTGGGGCCAGGGCAGCCCCAGCCTGGGGGCACCGACAGGGCTCAGTGATCCCTGTCCTGACAGGGGTGGTTGTAGCCCTGAAGCTGGGATGAGGTACCCCACTGTCACCCCATCCATCCCTGGAGCTGGGACAGGGCACCCCACAGACCCTGGGGATGGGGAAATGCTCCGGGAGATTTGGGGCACCCCTGGGAGAGGTTCCCAGGTTGCTGCTGCTATTTTGGGAGGGTGAAGCACGAGGGTGAAAGATGCAGAGGAAAGTTCAATGTGCCTCCAGCAGGTCCTGCCCCAATCCAGGCCGAGGTGGAAACAATCCAGGGAGAAAGGGTGGCTGAGCAGGAGCCAGCGCAAGGAATGGCACCCACCAGAGCCGGCAGCATCTGTGGCACAAAAACTGGCACCCACCGGAGCCAGGGGGGATGGGATGGTGTGTCCAGGCTCAGTGCTTCGCCCGCTGCCACCCTCCTGCCCTTCTTCCTAAGGAGCCTTTGGCATCGGGATGGCATTGGGTGTTGGATCATCCCTTCCTGCCCTCACAGGGCAGGGCAGCGCAGGCGAGGGGCTCTGTAGTGGCCCCCTGTGCCTCAGTTCCCCCAGGGATTTGGAATGCAGACTCCAGGACTGGATAGTCCCCTCTCTCCGGGCAAGGCTGAGCCTCGGATAAGCGGTGCCGGGAGCAGGGGCCGGCTGTCCTGCTGCCCCCACACCGGCAGCCCGGCCTCTCCACCGGCTGCTTCCTTCCGCCGGAGGGTTTCCCGGCTGCTGATTCAGCACGAGACCCCCGTGACCCCCCGTGGGGCCACCGGCAGGCGTCTGTCCTGCCGGGGCTGCCCCGTGCCTGCCCCGCGTTCGCCTTTGTGTCCCCCTCCCCCCCCCATGGAGGGTGATTTCCTCATCCTCTTCCCATGGGAACCCTCACATTCTCCCATGGTGGGTGATTTCCTCCCCCCTTCCCATGGGTACCCTCATTTTCCCCCCCACAACAGATGATTTCCTCTCCTCTTTCCCGTAGCGACCCTTCCCAGGCTTCCAGTCCCCGTTGTTTGCTCCTGGGGTTTTTGTAGGTCCTACAGAAATGCCCCACCGTGCTGTGGGGTCAGTGGGGGGTGATGTCACCGAGTGCTGGGACTCGCTGCCCTTGGTCCCCTCCCGGGGCGGTGGGTCCCTGGCACGAACCTTCCAGCACGGGCAGAGCCCGATCCCAGTTTCCCGGTGCCCTGGGTGGGCTGGGAACCGCAATCCCAGTGGTGGGACTGGGCAGAACTGGTCCTTCCAGCACAGAGGCCACGCTGAGGGGCTGGGATGCCGCTCAGCACCGGGATCTGGAGCCCGGCCAGGGCTCTATCCAAAAACATCGACACGCCGGGCGCATTTTTTCCAGGCTTACCTTTCCTCGGGAGCCGCAGGGACGGGCGGCTGGCACGGCTGGCACGGTGGCACCGCTGGCTGAGCCCTGTCTCCGCGGTGGCTCCCCTCGGGAAGGCGAGAACTGGAGGTCCGGGGGGATCCCTGTCGCCCTCCCAGCGCCTCCCGCAGCCCCGGCCGGGGCTCGGAGCCGCTTCCACCGGAGCCCCTGACGCCGTCAGCACATTTCCACCTCCTTTGCCAAGTAAATAAATACGCACCGGCTGGCACAGGGGGGCTGGTGGAAATCGGGGGGCGCCGGAGGCAATCCTGGAGCTCCCGCCGAGGGTTCCCGTGCCGGCCGAGCCCCCTGGCCCGCGGCCCCTCAGCCCCTGCCCGCCGGGTTAATAACTAATCCCTTCCCGGTCCTGCTCTCCTCACGTGCCAGAATTAATGGAGCGAGAACCTCCCAGGTACCCCCCGCGCCACCGGGTCGGGCTTTAACCCTGTGCCCCGGTGCGGATCCGGCCCGGGATGCGGCGACATCCCTGGAGGGGTCTGTCCGTGCCGGCAATGAGCCGGGCAGGGTGAGGGTGTGTGTGGGTCAGCCCCACATCCCCGGGAAACGCTGCGCCCCGTCCCACCCCTGTGCGGGCACAATCGGGGCTCGGCGGGGTGGGCGGGGGGGGTCAGTGGGGTTTGGGGGGTGCCTCTGTGCCCTGCCAGGGCCAGCTGAGCCCCTGCCCCCACCCCCCGAGCACCCCCAGGGTCTGTCCTGCCTGGTCTCAGGAATCGGAGCGGAAAGCCTGGACTGTTTGGGGGGATTACACTAAGGACCTTATGGGGAATTAGGGTGGGAAAGGACTGGTTTGGGGCGCTGGGGGTGCCAGCTCCTGTCCCCTAGGCAGTCCCAGCTCCTCAGTGTCCCATCCCTGCCCTCTGGTGGCAGCTGGGCCCGGCGTCACACCAGATTGGCACTGGTGTAACTCAATGCAGAGGGGGCATCGTGAGCCCCCTCCCCTGCAGCCGGTGGGAGATGCTGCACCCTTGTGTTTGGGGGACACCCTGGGTGCCCTGGGGGGGCCGCAGCCTGGCAGGGACACCCCCCGGGGTTCTCAGGTAGGGGCCAGGAGCTGGGGTCTTACCATGTGTCCAGGCCCCAGAGCTGGGGTCGCTGGACCTCGTGGGTGCTCCCTGCAGCACCCCCCAGGCAGCAGGGTGGGGGCACTGGGGTGGGCAGGGCAGAGGGACCCCGTGCCAGGGGTGCTGGAGCAGGGTGTCCCCATTCCATCTGCCCGCAGGGAGCCAGACCCAGGCAGAGTTTTGGTCTCAGCACGGCAGTTTATGGCAGAAGGACCATCCCGTGGGCTCCCAGCGGGCACCATGTCCTTGCAGGTCTTACAGGAGCTCAGCTGTGCCCACCACCCCTCACCACAGGCAGCCGTGCCCCCGGGCTCCCCAGGACCCGAGCTGGGGCACATCCTGGATGAGTTCTTGGGGGTCCCAGCACTCTGTGTCCCGAGTGGCTGAGCATGGATAGGGCTGAGCTGCCCATCCTGGTGGGGCTCAGGGAGCGGGCAGGGGTTCCTGGGATGCTGTCACCAGGCAGGGCACCCCAAGGGCCCCAAATGAAGGGCTGGGCACAACCATCTCCTCCTGCCACCACCAGCATTAACCCCGGCTCCGTGGAGGTCTCCCCAGGTCCTGGTGTGATGCGTGGGGCTGGGTGGGCACCGGGACCCCTGGCCAGGCACTACCCCGGCTCAGAGCGCGGTGCTGGCCAACATCTGCAGCGGTTTGAGGGCCGGGGTTGGGAAGTGGCTGCTACCCCGGCGGGATGGGCCGTGCCGGGGGTGCCCCCGCAGCACCTCGCCCACCGCGCGCCTGAAGGTCCGGCTGACGAAGCAGTAGAGGAAGAAGTTGAGGGAGGTGTTGAGCATGGCCACCATGTTGGCGACGTCCAGGGCCAGGTGCACGCGCCAGTCCCTCCTCACCGAGGCCACGTACAGGTGGCACATCATGACGACGGCGCGGGGGGCCCAGAGCAGCGCGAAGGCGGTGGTGACGGCCAGGAGCAGCGCCGTGGCCCTGCCGCCCCCCGCGCGCCGCCGCCGCTTCAGCTTGAGGATGATGACGGAGTTGGTGGCCAGGAAGATGCTGCAGGGCAGGAAGTAGATGGCGACGCAGTGGAGCCACTTGAGCGCCGTGTCCAGCGCCGTGGGCGGGTCGGCGTCGCGCCACACGTCCAGCCACCAGTAGAAGGGGATGCCGGTGGCCAGGGAGGCGGCGAACACGGCCGCGATGATCCGGCGCGTGCGCTGCGGGTACGACACGGCGCGGTAGCGCAGCGGGTGGCACAGGGCCACGTAGCGGTCCATGGTGAGCAGCACGGTGACCCAGGTGGAGGCGTGGTTGGCCGTGAACTCCAGCACGTTGACGGTGTGGATGAAGGCGCTGGGCACCGCCCGGGCCAGGATGGCCGTCTGCAGGATGAAGCCCACAAAGATGATGAAGACCTGGATGAGGATGTCGGAGCTGGTCAGGGCCAGCAGGTACCAGTACGACGACTTCTTGGTCCTGGTGGCCAGGCGGGACAGGGCCACGGCGGTCAGGATGTTCACTGGAGGGAGGGGAGCGATGGGTGGTGGTGAGACCCCCCCCCCCTGCAGCACCCGGGACCCCAGGGGTGCCCAGGCTCCAGCTGGGGGGGAGCTATAAATATCCCGGTGCCGTGGGGATTTGCTGAGCTGATTAATCTCTTCCGTGTGTCAGCCCAAGCAATACAAATACCATCTGTCCCTGTGGTGGTGGCACCTGCCCTGGGGCTGGGCAGCACAGCCGGGCACTGGGGCCGGATCTGAGGGCAGGGCGGGGGGAGCAGGTTTGGTTCCCCCACCCTGAGGATTCTCCTCCCCATCCCCAAACTCCCTGGGGCGATGGAAGGCTGGGACAGGAGCTGAGGCTCTGCCAGCAGCCGAGGGCACAGAGCTCAGCACCCCTCGGAGGGGCTCAGACCCAGGTGGGTGTTGCCCCTGCCCCCCCCTGCCCCCCCAGCCCCCTCACCTGGCAGCCCCAGCCCCAGCAGGACACTGTAGTACACGATGGGGACGATGCCAACCAGGCAGGGTGACCGCTCCGGATCTGGTTCCGGCCGTGCTGCCACACCAGCCCACGACACTTCCGTGCTGTTGGGCACTGGGACCGTCATCTTCTGCCAGGGATCGGCTGTGAGGGGAGACGGGAGCGTCAGGGGGAGGAGGATCCTGGTGGTACCTGGGCAGGAGGTCAGCTGTGACATGGCACTGGGGGCTGGGGGACAGAGACCGTCACACCAGTGTCCCCAGTGGGTTGGACCCTTGTCCTGCAGCATCCATGGACTGTGGGCAGCTCCAAAACGTGCCATCGCAGGCAGACTTGGGGCTGCTGCTCCCAACACACCCCGAGCCCCCTGTGCCATGTCCAGGCTGAGCCCCCCCCCACCAGAGCTGCTCCTTCTTTGTCCCCCAGCCCCTTTTTTGTAGAACGCCAGGTTAAAACACCATGTTCTTGGGCATCTGCCAGGCGAGGGAGGCTCTGGCCCCCAGCCCGGGCTGAGTGCACCCGCTGGGTCCCAGCGGTGACAGGGAGGACCCAAAAGTGCCAAAGGGGGGGTCCCAGCGCTGCCAAAAGGGGAGTGCCCACCTCCAGGCCGCCAGCGTGGTCCTTTGCCAGCTCCTCAGGCTGAGGAAGCAGAGCCAGCTCCGGAGGCATCTGGCAGCGGCCCTGCCCGTATCCTTATCTGTATCCGCATCCCTATCCGTATGTGTATCCGTATCCCTATCTCTGCCCGATCCCTGCCCTATCCCTGCCCTATCCCTGCCCGTATCCCCACGCCCACGCCCCGTGCCCGGATCGTGCCCACGCTGCCCTCGCCCATTCATAAACTCGGGCGGCTCCGCCCCCTCCCGAGACCTGCGCTTCTATTGGATAAAGGGAATTAGGCCTCACCCAATCAGAGAGGAGTTTTCCAGAGATGGCGGGTCCAGGGTTGAGCGCTGCGTTCTGATTGGTCAGAATCCCCCCAATTTATCATCTCCCGGGGGACCGCGACCCCCGGGTCCCGGTGCCGGAGGAGGGTGCGGGGTCCGGGGCGGTCCCGGAATCGGGGATGTGGGGGAACTCCTGAGCTCAGGGGTGTGTGGGGTGCAGGGGTGTCCTGCGATCAGGGGGTGCTGAGGGGGGGCTAGAGGGTGCAGGAGGGGGTCCTGAGCTGGGAGGGGGGAGCTACTGGGCACCGCTCACCTCCCAGTCCCACGGGGACCCCTAATTGCTCCAGTCCCAGTCACCGCAGACCCCCGACGGCTCCGGGGTCGGGGGGCGCGGTCAGGTCTCTCTCCAGGACCCCCACTGATGGATCTGCTCCCCCAGCAGTGCCCGAGAAGTGCGTGGGATCCTGGGGGTCCCACCCCCCCGGCCCTGCGACCCTCGGCCGGGATGGAAGTGCCAATCATGAGCAGAGCCCGGGGGGGGGCATGAAGCGGAGGATGGAGGAGCAGAGGGGTGCCAATTAACTTCAAATTAGCTCCGGCTAATCAGCAGGAGCGAGTCCCGTCCCTCCACGTCCCCCGCGGAACTGGGGCATCGATCGGCTGCAGCCGCGGCGGGAGCGCCTTTAACCCTTTCCCAGCCCTGATCCCCTTTGCGCTGCTGGGGGGGCGGGTCTGCTCTGGGCCCTCCTTTGCCCTCCCAGCCGGGGGTCCCACGCCCCAAACCCTGCGGGACAGGGACTCACACCTCGGTGGCCCCAGTGCCACTCGCTGGGCGCGTGGTGCCACCTTTCCTGGGCCCGGAGAGTCACTGGTGCCCGTGTCCCACTCAGTGGCCGTGTCCCTGTCAGTGTCCACGTCCCTGTCGCTGTTCGTGTCCCTGTTGGTGTCTGTGTCCCCTCCGGTGTCCGTGTCCCTGTCGGTGTCCGTGTCCCTGTCGGTGTCCGTGTCCCTGTTGGTGTCCGTGTTCCCACAGGTGGCTCTTTCCCGGTTGTCGTCTGTGTCCCCACCGGTGGCTGTTTCCTCTCTGGAGCCCGTGGCCCTGTCGGTGCCCGTGTCCCTGTTGGTGCCCGTGTCCCCTCCAGCACCCACAGCATGTCACAGCCTTCTGTGGCGCGGGACACGGGGCGGAGGGAGAGCGGTGTGGGCAGAGCCAGGGGCAGAGCCGCGGGGTGGGCTGGTGGGGCACAGGGACGTCACCGGGCCCGGTGGCTCCTGTGGGGGCCAGGGAAGGGGTCACCTGGGAAGCTCCGAGTGGCCGTGGCACAGTTCATCCCCACCCCGGAGCAATAGGGGTGGTGGTCTGGGGAAAAGCGGGTCCAGGGTCCACGGCCACCTCTGGGGACAGGGTGTGTGCGCAGGGTGTGACGTGTGAGTGGCACATGACTGTGAATCCGTGTGCTGCCCCTGTGTCCCTGCTGGGTTCTACCCTGGCTGTTCCCGAGTGCCCACTACCAGGACACCCTGCTCGTGCCTCAGTTTCCCCAGCAGCACAGGGAGGGGTGGGCTGGCTGGCATCCCCTGCCTGTCTCTGGGGCCACTGAGGAGATTCCCACCCCCTTGGTGCCCCCCAGCCTGCAGGGTGGTGCCCTGGCAGTGCTGCCTGGCACAGGTCGCTATGGTGAGCCAGCCCTGCGCCGCCTCAGCCGCAATCTCCGGGCCAGCGCAGCTGCTGCGTCACCTCCCTGGGGGCTGGGGGATGTCACCCTGTCCCTTGGTGCCCCCCCAAGCAGCCCCACAGTCCCATGTGCCCCCCCATGGCCTGTGGGCACCTCACCCCATGACCAGCCGATGCCCCCGTGGGGGACCGGGGGGTCGCTGGGCTGTGGGTGCTGCCCGGGCTGGCACGGTGCCGGCGGCTCGCCGGGCACACGCTGCCACAAGCTGTTGTTTTTTCAGGCGGGGGGTGAAATGAGGCGTCAGAGGACGCGGTGAGCCGTGAACCGGCTGTGCCACAGCGGGGCCCCCACCCCCTACCCCCCACCCCCCGCTCCACCGCGGTGAAGGGACACCCTCCTGGGCTGGGCACTCTGCTGGCACCACACTTGTGGGGGTCCCAGCCCCAGCCCCATGGCCAGTAGGGCATCACTGACCTGCCTGTCCCTGCGAGGGGACAGGGAGCCCCGGGAGCACGGCCTGGGGGTGGCTGGGTGGTTTGTCCCCAGCCCCTCGCCCTGTGTGTCAAGGCCAGATGCTGCTCGCCCCCCTCGGCAGCTGCGGCAACATCTGCCCACGCTCAGCATCTCCCACATGTTCCCATCTAAACCCGTGTCCCAGGCTGACTGTGCAGTGGGACGGGGCTCCTCAGCCTTGTGACCCACGTGAGCCCAAACCTGCCCTCAGAAGCCCCCGCTGGCACCCCAGGACCCCCGGCCCTGCGGTGGCACCGACGGCACCAGCTCTGAGCGCACCAGGCTGGACCCAACACACAAGAACTGGGAATGGTTCATATCCTCCCTGTGGCTCTGGCACTGCCGAGGTCTCAGTGTCTCCCTGGATGTGTCCCCAGGAGCAGGGGGGGTCCAGGCACTGCCCCTCCAGGTGACCTGGTGCAGGGCGTCTGGGCTGAGCACAGTGCTGGGGGAGCCCTGGCTGTGGGTAAGGGGCTGCTGTGCCCATGTGAGCTGGGCTGCCCCCGTCTTGTGGGGTCTGTACCCCTGTCTGTGTCCCATCTGGGGGTCCCAGTTCTGGTTCCCCACCCCCTGGTGCCACCAGGGCCACAGCCAGAGTTGGGTACTCACCTCTGGCAGCGGGGTGGGGGCACCCAGCACCACCCTCAGCCTGTGCCGGCGCCGCACCAGCCCCAGCACGTGGCACCGGGGCTTTGGGGGGGGGCAAACGCCACTCCAGCCCCGCGGCGAAGCCCCTCCAGAGGCGTCGGGGAGGGCGAGGGGCCATCGGAGGCCGCCCAGGGTGCACGGGCGGCCTCTTGGCTGCAAAGACTGGGAAAAGGGCAGGCAGTTCCTGCCGGCAGCCCGGATGCCATGGTGATGGGCTGCTGCCGGCATGAATACCCATGAGCCGGGGGAGCGGGAGGCCACCGAGCTGTGCCCTGAATGCAAAGACCCCGCCGCCGGCACAAAGGGCCGCGGGCCGCGCGCGGGGCTCCGGCGTGGCCGGCGGCAGGAGCGGGTGGCACACGGCGACATCCCCGTGCGGTGCCACAGCCCGTCGGGGCTGCCCCGCCACGGCACCCCGGGGTGCGGGGCTGGGGCTGAGGGGTCAGGGTGGGATGGAGGGAGGCCGGGAGCGGTTCCCTTGGCAACGGCCGGTCCCAGTTTCCACCAATCGATGTGTCGGCGCGGGCTGGGAGGGCCGGGAGGGCGCGTGTCCTACATAAGGACCGGGCGGGCAGCGTGTGCCCCGCCAGAGCCGGCAGATGCGCCTGCGACGCCATGGCCAGGCTGACGGGCGCCCGGCCCGTGGCCGCCCGGCGCTGGGGCTGCGCCGCCGCCTTCCTCCTCCTCCTCCTCACCGTGCAAGCCGGTAAGGGCGGCCGTGGTGCGGGGAGGGTCCCCGAGCAGGAATTCCTGTTGCCCTCCGTGGGTGCCGGGGCGCGGCTCAGCCAGGGACGGTGCCCACGGGCTCTCCGGCAGCCGTCGGGGTGCCTGGGAGGGATGCGAGTGGCTCCTGGGCGTGCTGTGCCTCGTGGCCGTGCCCCTCGGAGCCGGGCTGTGCTCAGGGAAGGGCTCGGAGCCGCGGGCAGCGACGTCCGGCGCTGTGGGGCGCGGGGTCCTGCTCCCCTTCCCCAGCCCTGCTCAGCGGGACTTAAGCCGGCCCCGGGAAGGGTAATCCGCCGGCAAGATGGGATTTGAGAGGCAAGATGGATTTGAGACAGATGGGGCCGAATTCCTCCTGGGGGAAGGATGCTCTGGGGAGCCGGTGGGAGTTGTGCCAGGAGGGAGAAGAGGAGAGGGAGGAGGGTTCTCGGTGCCCACAGGAGAGCCCTGTCCCACATTCCCAGGTCCCTCTCCAGGCCCTGTTGGGATCCCAGCACAGACCCGCAGTGACCCTACAACTGCGTAGACCACGGGACCCCCGCCCCTAGGAGTGGGGCAGAGCGTGCCTGGCTCCCCACACCCGTGGGCTCTCCATGCCCCCGTGTATCCATCGAGGATGTGGGGGGTTGTGGCAATGCCCGGGGCTCGCTGTGCCCACAGCAGGGACAGGGCAGACCGGGCTGTGAGCCAGTGCCGCCGGCACCCGGCCATTTCCCAGCACGTCCCAGCCTGGGACATGGTGGTCTCAGCCCTTCTGCTGCAGGAAGGCAGTTTTTTGGCTCTCAAGGACACAAACGTCCCCATGTCCCTTTGTCCTCCCACACTCCCCTTGGCACCAACCAGCCCTTCGGCACTGGGGGAGCAGAGTAGGAGGTAACCCCACACCGCCCCACAGCTGGGTCCCCTGGGCCGCCCGGGGTGCAGCACTGGGATGATCCCATCTCCCCACAGCCCAAAAAGCCGACCTTAGCGGGGACTCCACGGCCGCCACCATCAACCACTCGCTGACGCTGCTGCAGCGGCTGCAGGAGCTGCTGCAGAACGGGAACGGCAGCGACTCGGTGCTGCGGGTGCGCTCGGCCGCCTCCGACGAGGCCAAGGTGTTCCACACGCACCAGCTGCTGCTCAGCCTCCAGAGCGAGGTGTTCGAGAGCCTCCTGCGCAACCAGAGCGTCGTCACCCTGCACGAGCCGCCCGAGACCGCCGCGCTCTTCGACAAGTTCATCAGGTGCGTGGGGGGCCCCGTTGGGATGGGGATCTCAGGGAGGATGTGGCTCCCTTGGAGACCCAGTGGGATGGGGGTGTCCCCCGGGGGGGATGCAGCTTTCCTAGGGACCATGGGGAACCCCATGGGATGGGGATGCCCAGAGGGATGCTGCTAAGGAAAGGGGATGTTCCCTTCTGGGACCACAGGGACCCCATGGGACGGGTATGTTAAAAGGGATGCAGCCCAGGAGGGAGGATCCTCCCTGGGGGACCATGGAGGTCCTGTGGGATGGGCGTTACCTGGAGGGATGCAGCCAAAAAAGATGGATGCTCCCCTGAGAACCATGGGCCACTGTGGGATGGGGATATCCAGAGGGATGCATCCAAGAAGGGGGAATGCTTCCCTGAGCATCCCACGGGATGCAGCCCAGGAGGGGAAACGTTGCCCTGGGGACCACAGGGACCCAAGGGGTGGGGGTACCCGGAGGGGTGCAGCCCAGGACAGAGGCTGCTCCCCTGGGAACTGCGCTGCCGGAGTGGGGGTCCCCACGTCACCACCCACGCTCCCCCCAGGTACCTGTACTGCGGGGGGGTGTCCATCCTGCTGCACCAGGCCATCCCCCTGCACCAGCTGGCCAGCAAGTACCGGGTCTGGGGGCTGCAGCGCGGCGTGGCCGAGTACATGAGGAGCCACCTGGCCAGCGAGTCGAGCCAGGGCCACGTGGTGGGCTGGTACCACTACGCCGTGCACGTCGGGGACGCGGCGCTGCAGGAGAGCTGCCTCCAGTTCCTGGCCTGGAACCTGTCGGCGGTGCTGGGCAGCGCCGAGTGGGGCTCGGTGAGCGTGGAGCTGCTGCTGCTGCTGCTGGAGCGCTCCGACCTGGTGCTGCACAGCGAGCTGGAGCTCTACACGGCCGTGGAGGGCTGGCTGAGCCGCCGGCAGCCCGAGGCGCCCGTGGCCGAGCGGGTGCTGCGCGCCATCCGCTACCCCATGATCGCGCCCAGCCAGCTGTTCCGGCTGCAGGCGCAGTCAGCGGTGCTGGCGCGGCACCGCGGCGCGGTGCAGGACCTGCTCTTCCAGGCTTTCCAGTTCCACGCCGCCTCCCCGCTCCACTTCGCCAAGTACTTCGACGTCAACTGCAGCATGTTCCTGCCCCGCAACTACCTCGCGCCCAGCTGGGGCTCCCAGTGGGTCATCACCAACCCGGCGCGGGACGACCGCAGCACCAGCTTCCAGACCCAGCTGGGCCCCAGCAGCCACGACGCCGGCAAGAGGGTGACGTGGAACGTGCTGTTCTCGCCGCGCTGGCTGCCCGTCAGCCTGCGCCCCGTCTACTCGGACTCGGTGTCGGGCGCCATCCAGCCCGTGCGCATCGAGGACGGGCGCCCGCGGCTCGTCATCACCCCGGCCATGAGCAGCCCCGACTTCGCCGGCGTCACCTTCCAGAAGACGGTGCTGGTGGGCGTGCGGCAGCAGGGCCGGGTGCTGGTGAAACACGCCTACAGCTTCCACCAGAGCTCGGACGAGGCACCCGACTTCCTGGCGCACGCCGACCTGCAGAAACGCACCTCCGAGTACCTCATCGACAACTCCCTGCACCTCCACATCATCATCAAACCCGTCTACCACGCCCTCATCAAGGTGAAGAAGTAACAAGGGACAGCCGGGCCCCACGGGGGCAATGCTAGGTCCTCCTGCTCATAGGTAGATGGGGGTCCCCACAGTGGGGGACCCCGGGGCTGTGCTCTGCGCTGCCCAACCCTCCCCGAGTGTCCCCCTGCCATGTCCCATCCCCATCGCTGTCCCTGGGGATGGGGGATGCTGGGAGCCCTCCAGCACTGGGCGGGGGGTGCTGGAGGCAGAACATGCAGCCCACAGGCACAGTGCAGACCCCATGGGGACAGGGACAGCCCATCCTTCCTGTGGTGCCACCCCTGCAGCACTGGGACCCCTCTGTGTGGGCAGCTGGGTCCAGCTCAGGGGCAAACTGGGAGCTGCCAGGATTGGGGCTGAGGGGTCCATCTGCCTCTCCTAGTGGAGGAGGGGTGGGGGGCACCACCCCTGCTGATGGTGGCAGCTGCCCCATCCCTGTCCGGGCACCCTCAGCTTGTTCCTAATAAATCAGAAAACAAATGTGGGGATGTGTGGGGCATCTTTGGGGTGACACCGCTCCCCAGCTCAGCTCAGCTTGTTTCGATGGAACCCCTGGGAAGGAAAACACCCGTGGAGACACCCGGTCCCTGGGTGACCCCATCAGCACCTGGCAGTGCTGGGGGATGGCTGTGGCTGTGTCCCCCCATGCTGGGCATCCACAGGACCCTGGAGCAGCCACGTGGCTCCATCTCACAAGGATGCATTTCCCTGCGGGGACAAGGGTCCCTGTTTGGGGTGGGTTTGGCATGGGGAGAGCTGGCCCTGGCATTGCACACCCACGGGTGGGTTCAGCCCCAAGCAGAGCCTGGGGGAGGGTCCTGCCGGGGGGCTCCCCCCCAGCCCCCGGGGTGCCATCTGGGCCATGTCCCCATCGCTGTGAGAGCGCTGCCGGCAGCTCGTTAATGATTAATTAGGAGGGGTGAGGAGCGGGGGTGGATGCGGGCCTGGCAGTGTTTACCCAGAGCTGATAACCCAGCCGGGGGCTGCTCCTGCAGGGCCACACTGGGGGGACACACCGGGCTGTGCTCAGCAGCACCGTCCAGCTGGGAGGGAGCCTGGAGGGGACCAGGACCCCCCTGCTGCCACTGGCCACCCTGCTGTGCCCTGTTCCATGGGCTGGGGACACTCCAAGGGACACCCTGAGCTGCCATGGGTGCTTGGCCAGGCTCAGCCACCGGCTTTGAGCCATGTCCTGGATTGAGGAGGGGACAGGAGGAACAGGATGACTTTCCCACCCTCTGCTCGACCCTGCTGTGACAAAAGAGGAACCACGATGTGGAAAGCAGTGGTTTATTCACCACAAAGAAAATCAGGATGCCAAGGGCCAGGGAGCAGCCGTGGGGTCAGGATGCTGTGCAGGGCCCAGCCCATGGGGGCACAGAGCCCACGGGGACACAGAGCCCACAGGGGCACAGAACCCACAGGGGCACAGAACCCACAGGGGCACAGAGCCCACGAGTGCTGCCCAGCTCAGGGCCAGCAGCCTCATCCCTGCAGGAGCCATGGAGCAGCAGCTCTGGCACGGAGGGGAAAGGAAGGCGAAGCTGGAGTGCACTGACCTTGGCATCCTCCCCCTTCTCCTTCTCCTCCTTTTCCTATTCCTACGCAGCCTCCTGCTCTTCTTGACTCTGAAACACAGAGGCTGACCCTGTGCCCTGCCCTCGGTGGGGTCCCTGCCACAGTGCCCGCTGTGTCCCGCCCCCCGTACCTCTGACATCAGGGACACTGTCTCTCCCCTCCTCTGCTGCTCAGCCTTGATGACACTGAAGAAATCCCTGCGGGCCTGCTTGAACACCTGCTGGGGATCCTCCGGCTCTTCCTTCTTGGCCTTTGCCAGGAGCTGTGCCCGCACCTGCAGCTCCCGCTGTTTGTCCTGCAGGACCTTCTCCCGCCGTGCCTCCCGCTCGAACATCTGTGGGGGGATTTGGGGCTGAGGCGTGTGGGGGGCACAGGGGACCCCGTGCTGTGCCCGGGGACAGCGCAGGGCTGTGGGCAGAGCTCTGTGTGTGGGGCTGGGGCCATGCCCCTGCTGAGGGGGCTCGGCTGGGGCCTGGCACGCACCGTGGAGGTCAGGGACTTCTCGTTCTTCCGGAGGGTGCAGAGCCCCGAGGAGATCTCCAGGATGTTGATGGTGCCCTGCCTGGTGCCACAGCCGATGATGCGCCCGTTCTCCTGTGGGCGCAGGCTGAGGAGGGGATCGTTGCTCATCTGGGGATGGGGGACAAGTGGGTGGTGGCACTTGGCCCTGGAAGTCGGGCAGGATGAGCTGGCAGAGGCACAGCCACGGGGCTGCCAAACTCGCTCCCCTCTCCTTGCTCGGGGCTCGGAGGGGCTGGGAACACACCTTGATGCTGAGGGAAGGCTCCTTCTGGTGGAAGAGGAAGTCCCAGACGTCCAGGGTCCCGTCCGACTTGACGGTGAAGAACACAGACGGCTTCACGGGGCTCCAGCACCCGTCCAGCAGGTAGGGAACGTGGCACCTGCGGGCAGAGCTGTGCCTCAGCCACACTGGCATCGCTCTGCTTCGGCCTGTGCCACCATCCCAAGCCGACCAGACCCCGCTGGCACCCAGGGATGGTTTTTGGCCAAGTAAACACACCCCGACACCTACTTGGTCTCCATAATTGATGACGAGTCCAGGTTCTCCTCCGACCAGATGCGGGCAGTCCAGTCCCCCACCGACAGGAAGACTTTGGGGTTGAAGGGGCTCCTGGCCACGGCATAAACGGCCCCGATGTGGCCATTGAAGACGTTGGCGATTTTCTCGGGGGGGGGTCTTGGCGTCGCGGTTGCAGTTGATGATACTGCCCTGCTCCGTGCCCACCAGGAACTTGGTGGGCTGAGGGTGGGAGCAGGAGAGAGCAGCTGTCAGCAGGATGGGGGTGGACAGCAAGGGGGCCCTGCTGCAGCCAGAGCCCTGGACCCACCACCAGTGGGGGATTTAGGGACTGAAATGCCAGAATAACCCTGTGTTTTGGGAGCACATCCCAATTCTTCATGAATCTGGCCCCTTGGGCTGTGCCTGTGGTTGGGGTATGAGCAGTGGGCACAGGGACACTGACCATGGAGAGTGAAAAGTCCAGGGAGATGGCACCCAGGGCATTCTGCAGCTGGTCTTCCCGGGTGATGTCCAAGATCAGCCTCTCGCTGGGCTGTGACAGCTTGCGGATGTCCCACCACAGGACCTGTGGGGGAGAGGCCATGGCAGGGGGCTGTGGGGGCTGCTCCTGCTCACCCAGGGGTGCTGGAGCCCAGCAGCTGCCCTGTGCCAGCCCAGGGGGCCTGGATCTTGTGCTGCTGAGGGGCAGCACAGGCAGGGGAAAGCTCTTTTGGGTCCCCTCAGGAGCAGCTGGCACCATCCCCTGCCCTGGCCCCTGCCCTGCCCCAGCCCCTCACCTGCCCGTCTGTGGAGGCTGAGAAACACTCAGTGCCTGTTCTGGAGGGCAGCCAGATTGCTCCATACACGGGGTCCCTGTGGCTGAGCTCCAGGGGGGTCGACTCCATGGGCAGCCCCCCTTTCCTGGTGTCCCAGTACACTGGGAAGGAAAAGAAAAGCCTTCGCTCAGCTCCTTTCCTTGTCGTGTGTTTTCCCCTTCCCAAGTCAGAGCAGGGAGCAAACCTCACCAGGTGCTTCCCACGTGCTTCCCACCCCCAGGGGTGGCGGGAGAGGGGGGAGCACAGCACCCTTCCTGCTCAGCCCCTGGATCCAGCCATCCATCCCTGCCATGGCTGCCCCGAGTGCTGCAAAGGGCTCCCTGGCATTGTGTCCTCCCTTCCCTGGGCACCCACTCAGGTGAGCACACCTGTCCACAGACAAATCCCAGGCCCTGTTCCAGTGGGATATTCCCAGTGGCAGCACTAACTGATGACACCCTGTGAGTGCAGCAGTGCTGGAGCCAGGCTCCTGCTGAATCAAGCCCCCCACCTGCCCCGTTCCCCTCACCTATCTGCCCGTTGTAGCAGCCTCCCAGCAGGTGATGCCAGTCCTTGGGATTGTATTCCACGGTCAGCACAGGGGACGAGAGCATGAGGGTGAGGAACGGCTTGTAGGGGTATTCTGCCAAGGAGGGACGAGTGAAGAGCAAAGGGTGAAGGCAGCACCCCAAAACCAGCCCCCCATCCCACCCCACTCCCTGCCGTGGATGTGCTGGATGAGGTCACTGGGATGTGGCAGGGAAGGGAGCTGGCCTGGGGACAGACCCCTGGTACCTCCACCCCTCTTCTTTGTCCTTTTCACCCCAAAACAAACCAGGTCTGAGCGAGGCTTGGACAGACCAGGGCAATTCTCACCCCAGACTCCTGCTGCCTCTTTTCTTCCTTCATCGACCCAACTGAACCACATCAGGACAAGAACCTTGTACAAGGCACGTGGCTCTGCTGCCTGTTGTGGTTCCGGAGCCACGGAGTGGGATTTTATTTCCCGCTTTCCAGCTCCCATTTCTCCCCGGGAGAAACCTCCCCCCGCTGACCCTCCCCGGATGCTGCGAGGCCTCATCCCTCTCTGAGCCACAAAGTGCTTCCGCTATCGACCGGTGGGTTTTCCCCTCCCCTTACCCATATCCCAGATGTAGGAATCACAGGGGATGTCTCTCCTCTTGTCCTGGAACTCCAGGCTGCAGTAGGCCACGGCCAGTTCCTTGCCAGAGTCGGGGTGCCAGGAGAGGTGCGTGGCCGTCCTCCTGACCTTGTTTGGGTCCCTTTGGGATGACAGATCATCCAAGAGAGGTTACTTTGTGAATCCCTGGGATGAGCATCTTGCAAAGGAAGTTGTGGGAACCACAGTTAAACCAATCTGCAGCCCTCGAGCCTTGAGTGCAGGAAATGATTCTCCGGTGGGTTGGGTGGGGGGAGAAGAGTTGATGATTTCATCGTCTTTCCAGTTATACCTTTCTGAAAATCCAATTCTCTTACTGGATCTGCCTCCCAAAACAACCCAACAGCCCCTGATGCTGAAATTAACCTTTGAGGCACTGAAAAATAAGCAGGGAAATCCTCATGCTCAGAGCTGAATCTGATCCTGGTTCCCATCCCCAAATCACCTGGGCAGGGGAGGGCAGAGAGGGAGGGATGGATGATTGGGCAGGGGGGTTCCAGCAGTTCTCTCCAGCCACAAACTGATCCAGGACCATCCTAAACCCACTGGAATTCAGCTCCTAAAGGTTTGAAGGTGGTTTGACCCCACTGTGGCCCTGGGGAGCCTGGTGAGCCCCCCTGGCTGTGCTACCTGAAGGCACTGATGGTTTTGGCAGAGGGAGGATCCTCGACCCCCTCTTCCTCTTCATCGTCTGCAAAATATTCCTCGTAGATGTCGATGGCATTGTTCTGCCTGATGCAGTGCTCCATCAGCTGCAGGGACAGCACAGGATGTGTCTCTGGGGGCTCTGGGGGGGGGTCAGGGGGTTTTGAGGGGGATCAGGGGCAGGGCCTTACGGTGCCAAGGTGCTGGATGGTTCTGGTGTACATCTCATCCCTCTCCACCTCCTCCCTGTAGCGGGAGGTCAGGTCCGTGTTCTTGGGGTCGATGTGCTTGGGCCACCCGCCCTCCACGTGGTTCATGCCCCGGGATGTCGCCTGCACCCGCTCCGTGTTCACCTGGGCAGGGGGACACAGAGGGATCGGAGGCCCTGAGCCCAAAGGGTGCCAGACACACCTCGGCCCCTCGGGCCAACTGCCTTCCACGTGTTTGACATCCCGGGATGTCACCTTCATCCACTCCGCGTTCTCCCGGGGAGTGGGGACATGGAGGGATCGGAGCGACCTGAGCCCAAAATGTGCTTGACTTTGTGCCCCCATGAGGGCCCAGCACAGCCCCCAGAGTTCCTGGGGGGTTCCCCCGTACCTCGTGCAGAGCCATGACGGGCGCGTGCTGAAGGGCGAAGTCCACGGGGTCCTGGGGGATGAAGTCTTCGGCCAGGCTGGGGTCCGGCGGGATGTCCACGGTCACCTCGGCCGGCAGGTCCGAGAAGTTGCAGGGCCGCCCAAAGTCGCTGCGCTTCCGCGTGTACTCGAACTTGATCTCCATGGTGAGGGGGGACCCCCACAGCAGGGGGGGCTTGGGAAGGAATGGGGTGTTTGGGGAGAGACCCGAAAGGGAGTGAGGGCCTCAGGGAAGACTCCAAAAAAGAGTGGGAGGCTTGGGGATGGAGGGTCCCAAAAGAGAGCCCCTGAAAGATGAGGAGGCCTCAGGGACGGAGAGCTCCAAAAGAGAGTGGAGTCCTTCGGGAACCCTTAAAGGGAACAGGGGCCTCAGGGGTGGAGGGAGAGCCTCAAAAGACAGCAGGAACTTTGGGGAGGAAGAGAGGGTCCCAAAAGAGAGTGGGAGCCTGAAAGGGAGTGAAGTTGTCAGGGATGGAGAGATGGTCCTGGAAGGGAGTGGAAAACTCAGGGAGCCCCAGGAGGGATTGGGGAAGGTGCCAAAAGGGAATGGAAACCTTGGGAAGCCCCAAATGTGAGCAGGGAGCCTGGGGAGGGAGTACCCTGAGAGGGCCTGCAGGGTTTTAGGGAGACCCCAAAAAGGCAGCGGGAGCCCCAAAATGGGGCTGAGCCCCAGGAACAGAGGGATGAAGAGCTCTGAGTGTTAAAGGAACACCCCGAAGGCCCCGGGACCCCGGTGGGGCCCGTCCAGGTCCCGGTCCCGGTGGGGCCTGACCGGGGACGCGTCGCCGTTGCCGGGCAACGCCTCGACACCCCCACGTGACACTGGCGCTGCCGTCACGTGACACAGGCCGCGTACCGACCTCCCCGAAATGGCGGCGCCCGCCGCTGTCACGTGACGGCCGCCATGTTGGGGAGGTCAAATAAAAGCTGCCTCAGATTATCCAAAAAAAAAACCCGCGTGGAGGAGATAAATTTAGTCCAAGTGTTTATTATCTTTTTCCCCTCAAAGGGCACATACAAATCCAGCCGGACTCCAGCTCCCAGCCAGAGTCCTTCGGTTAGTTCACATGCGGTTAACAACAGCTCTTCTACCAGTACCGTTACATGGAAATGTTAAAAGCCAAAAAAATAAAAATAATAACAAAATCCCTTGGGATTTCCCCCAAAAGGGAGGGATGCTAGTCATGGGGAACATGGAAAGAGGGAGGCAGGGGGATGTACTGGCCCTGGGTGGGGGACACCCACCACCCCATCCGCGCCCTTTGGGCTGCAGGGTCTGGCTGGGATGGAGCAGGGGTCCTTCCCTGCTCCATGGGGAAGGGCTTCCTGGGGATCCCTGTGCCAAAGGGCAGCCCCAAAGGATCCGTTCAGCTCATACTGGTCTCCCAGCTCCTCTGCCAGGAGCCCTGGAAATGCTGGATGAGCCCCCCCCCCAAGGTGGCAGGTCCACGCTGTCCCCTCCCCAGGCACCCCATCCCACCCCAGGGAAGCCCCAGTAGTCCCTAACCCTCTCCCAGGGGATTCCTGGCTGCCCCAGGGCCGTCCTGCAGGAGGAGGGGATCCTGCCCCATATCCCACACCTGCCCTGGGGAGCCAAATCGCCAAAAAGAGCCTAAAACCACCCAAAAAACCTGCTACCAAACTACACTGCAGAAAACCCCACTCCAGAACAGAGTCAGCGAGTCATCCCACGCTCCCAAGAGCTCCCGAATCCCAGGGGGCAAAGCAAAGGAAAAGCCAGCAAGGCCAAAACATCCGTAATTCCCCAGCCTGGGGGGTGGGAAGGGGGGCACAGGGGGCCGGATCTGCCCACGGGGGAGCAGCCAGGGAAGGAGGGGACTGGGAAAGGTTGGGATCACTAGTGGTTGGTGCTGCATTGCTACGGGAGCAGGGGAGCCCCTGCCTTGACCCCCCCCCGGGGGGGGGGGTGCTGGGGGGCAGCGTGGTCCCGGGATTTGCCCTCCGGAAGGCTCCGACATTCCCGAGCCGGGAGAAGCCGACGCCAGAGCGGCACCTCCGCGCTCCCCGGGATAAGGCAGGAAGAGTCGAGTCCCAGGAGCCGCCGGGGATGGGGCTCAGAGGGGTGCACGGTGGGGGTCTCCGGGCTCGTTCCTCCAGCCCCCGCCGCGTCTCCTACCGCGTGTTCTCCGGGGGGGGGTCTTTGGTTTCCCGAGGGAAACGCCGGCGGCGTCTCCTCCTACGCCGGGAAGTCGCCGCGGTGCCGGACGTGCTCATCGGTGACACTCAGGTACGTGGCCCTCATGCTGGGGGAGTACTGTGGGATGGGGAGGGACACGGGGGGAGGGGGGTCAGCACCCCCCGAAACACCAGGACACAACCCCTGCACGGCCAGGGACGGCCCCCATGGAGAGGGAACGCTGCTTCCCATGTGGATTGATCCCTAATTAATCTGCCAGGTGGGCACGGGGAGAGGGGCAGACCCTGCTCACGGCCTGTCTAGGGGCTGGGGGACATGAGACCTCTTCAGCCTGGAGCCCTGGAAGTGCTGCAGGAGCCTCCCAGGGTGGCAGGTCCGTGCTGTCCCTCCTCCCTGGGCACAACATCCCCCTCCAGGGATGCCCCAGTTGTCCCTCACCCTCTCCCAGGGGACTCGTGGCCACCCCAGGGCTGTCCCTGCCCCAGCCAACACCTGTCCTGGGGAGCCAAATTACCAAAAAGAGGCTAAAACCACCCAAAACCTGCTATTACACTGCAGCAAAAGCCCCTCTAGCTCTGCTTTGTCCCTTTCCAGGATCATCCTCCACCTTCCCAGCTCCAGCCCAGCAGCAAATTCATCCCGAATCACCCCATGTGCACAATTCCATAGTGAGCACAGTGCAGGGCCCCAAAACTCCAGCCTCTCAAAATCACATTTCTCCAGGATTTCACAGCAGGGAGGATCACCCCAATCAGGCACTAAGGAAGATTATTCCGAGTTTGTTCCTCTGGACTTGAAAAGTCCTTCCTCTGGGATCTGAATCCTGGGTAAATTCATTCAGGGCTCAAATTAATCCCCTCACTCATGTGCCCCCCCCCAGGGAAGAGGCTCTCACCAGCTGCCAGGTCTGTGCAATGGATTACACCTGATGGAAAAAATCATTCCTGGAAGAGGGGAGCACAGTATTCCTGCCATGGCAGCATTCCCAGAGCTGTGTCCCTGTCCCACTGCCCGACTGGGGGGGGCTCTGGGGATGGAGATGGGGGCCAGCATCCCAATGTGGGGGAGCTGCAAATCCTCCTGGAACTTCCTGGGGACAAACTGTGGCCCAGTCCCTCCCTCCCCGAGCTCTCCACGCTCTTCCTGAAATCCAGCCAGGGAAAGGGGATGGAGGGAGGCACAGAAGAGGGGGAGGATGGGGGAACCCAGCTGCTGCCCCAGGATAAGGAGGGAGAGGGAAGCAGCTGAACTTACTCTTGATGGGCAACTTAGCTCCAAAATAATGGATGCAAAAATTAAAAAGAAACCATAAAAAAAAAAAAAAAAAAGACAAGCAATAAAAAATAAAGCAGCAAATACCAGACAGGGAGGGATTAACAACGAGCAGGGAAACGGGAACGGGCAGGGAGACACTGCCAGGAGCATCCTCTGAAAGTGAGGACGGAGAGGGAGCACAGGGAAGGGAGGGAAGGGCAGGGCTATTTCAGGCTCCCCCGAGCACGTGGCTGTGCCCCCTCCCCACAGCCCCCGTGGGCCGGCCGGGAATTGGGTCAGAGCCGGGCAGGGGGAGCCACGTCCTCGGCAAGGGCAGGAGGGGGCCGGGATCACCCCCACATCCCACCCCGGCCAGCGGCTCTCGGTGACCCCGACGGGCTCCACACCCCCGGGAAATCCCCCCCCCAGGGGGGTGTCACAAGAAGGACTTGGCCTCGGTCGCCCACCGTACCGTGGGGGGGGGGAGACCCCCTGCCGATGAGGGGCACGTTCTCGTAGCGCGGGTTCCCTCCGAAGAGCACGGCCTGGTTCCTGGGGAGGGGGCACAGCGGGACCCCCATCACCCCCCGCCCCGGCACAGCGGGGGGGACCCGGGGGGAAAAGGACGGGGAAGGGGGGAACCTCACATGTACTCGGAGACGGGGGCGTTGGACACGGTCTGGGCGGGGGGGTGGAGGCTGCTCTGGCTGCCCAGGCTGCTGCTGTAGCTGCAGAAGCTGCGGAGCTGCCCCCGGGGCGGGCGGTGGGCGGCGATGCGCCGAGCCTGGGGGTTGAACGGGTCCTCCTCGTCCATGTCGTCGTAGTCCCGGTCCCTGGGCAGGAGGGGACGGTGGTCACGCTCAGTCTCAAACCAGGGGGGGGCCCCACGGGAGGCCTGGGAGGTGCCTGTGGCCACTCCATGCCCATGGTGAGGGCAGGGGGCTGTGGGGGAAGGAGCTGTGGGCAGCGGGGCTGTGGGCAGGGGGCTGCACGTGTGGGAGGGTGGGCAGGGGGTCCGCAGGGGCAGGGGGGATGCAGGGGACCACGGGCAGAGGGGTGGTGAGCAGGGGGATGGAGGGGATCACGGGCAGAGGGGTGGTGAGCAGGGGATGCAGGGTACCACGGGCAGAGGGGCTGTGAGCAGGGGGGATGCAGGGGCAGGGGGGATGCAGGGGACCACGGGCAGAGGGGCGGTGAGCAGGGGGGCTGCAGGGGCAGGAGTTATGGGCGGGGGGCTGCACAGGTGGGGGGCTGTGGGCAGGTGGGTGGTCTGCAGGTGGGGGGCTGTGGGCAGGGGTCCGCGGGCAGACCCACCGTCCTGTGAGCTGCTTCCAGGCGCGGGGGGGCAGCGCAGATGATGGTGGAGAAGGAGGCAGCTGCCAGCAGGGAGAAGAGCCCCAGGTAGAGCAGCCCCTCCACCCCGTCGTAGCAGATCCCGATGAGGGCGTCCAGGTAATCCTGGGGGGACACAGGCAGGGCTGGTGGTAGAGCAGGGGGACCCCAGAGCTGTGTCCCCACCCGGACCCCCCCTCACCTTGTGCAGCCCCCGGCAGTCCAGCAGGGCTGTCAGCTGGTGCAGGCTGGTCTCTGAGGAGTTGAGGAGCTGCTGGACCCCCAGCAGGTCTTTCTATGTGAAAAGAGGGGGTCAGGACGGTGCTGGGGAGCGGAGCGAGGGCAGGTGGGGCCCCAGCACCCCCTCCCATACCTCAGCTGTGGGGAAGAGGGGCAGTGCATACTGGATGAGACCCTGGGTCTGGATCTGCATCGTGGTGAGCGAGCGCTGGAAGACGGTGAGAACCTGCAAGGGGGAGTGGGAACAGTCACGGAGCCACCCAGCCCTGGGACCCCCCATCCCTGGGACCCCCCCAGCCCCAGGCAGCCCCAAGCAGGGTGCCTAGTCCCCCTGTACCTGCTGGAAGGGGTTGCTCAGGCTCTGGTCACAGTACAGGTAATAGTGAGCCACCACTGCAAAGCCAAGGGGACACATTGGTAGGAGCGTCCCGGGGGACGGGGAGCAGTGTGTGGGGGCAGAATGGCAGCGGGGGGCACTGGACCCCCCGGCAGGTTTTGGGGTTCTGCCCCACCCTGGCTCCACCTGGGAGCTGGCTCTGACCTGCACTGATCTCGTCGTCTGTCTGGTTCATGATGAACTTGTCTGGGGCCACGCAGAAGTCGCTGGTGCCCTGCGGGGACCAGAGGGACATCGAGGGGCCGGGAGGGACGGGACGGTGCCCGCAGCCTTTGGCACGGCCCCGGCACAGCCAGAACCAGCCCTGCCCCCCCCCCCCCCCCCCCCCCCCCCCCCCGCCACCGTGTCCACGGCCATGGAGGCCCAGCTGAGGACGAGGGTCAGCAGCCCACAGCACAACATCCTGCGTGGAGAGCGGGGAGCACGAGGGGG